TGTTTTTTTATTTGCTCCTGAAGACATTGTACTGAATGCAACAGTTCTATTATGGCCAAAGAAGATTAACCCTATTTTTGATGAGCATGATGATGTAAGAGCACTTTCTCAGTTCATGGTGTATTTTGGCTTGTTAGACTTTTCACTTTACTTGAGCTAAATGTATTTACACATATAACGTGAACCATACTAATTTAGACATGCATAAATAACAGATTTCCTGATTTTTATATCAACAGAGGGCTTTTTATGGAATAATTTAAAAATTGTCACTGTAACTTAAAACCTTCAGCAAGTCTTATGATCTTAATTTGTTTGTGGTCAGTACTAGGTAATTCATAGGAAGGTGAAAATTCACTACACTGCAGTTGACTAGTACTGAAAATGTAATTGCCCGGCCCTTAGTAAGAGTTAGTGCTCTGGACAGGAAGTAATTTAGTTAAAATGATGCTTTGTTCTGTCAATAAAAGAACAGTGGGAATTGTGTTTTTCAGGTAGCAATCATTAATAGAAAGTATGCAACATCTGATTTTCTCTGTGTGACTGTAGATTACTTTATTTTCTTCCACTTGTCTGTATTCATCTTGCTAGCATTCTTTCTTTCTGGCTATGATACAGTAAGTCAAGCCTTTTGGTGTTCTCTTGCCTCTCTATAGTAATTTAGCATAGATTTAATAATTTCTTCTAAAAATGTTTAAGAATTAACAATTAAAAGATACTGATATTTTTATTTTTTAAAATGTTAAATATCACAATCGAGGATTTCTTTTTCACCAAGTCTTATTTAGATACTAAGGAGTATGTCCAAGGCTAGTAAATATGCCTCTGTCTTAAAACATACGCAGCTTGGGAGACTGCTATGTCTGTAAAATATTTTCTTTGCATTTTATCATTCTTTTAATCCCCAAAAATAAATGAGTGAAATTAATTTTCTACTTGTACACAGAGAGTCCGTGATCCTTGTTCAAATTCTTTTTAATGAAAATGGTAGTGCAGAGTGTATCTGACTTAATGAGAGTCCCTCAGGAGTATATCTCTGTGTACTTGCATTTGCAACTTGCATTGTGCTAGAGCTTGAGGACAAGAATAGTTTTATGTCAAGTTTTTGAGTCTCCATATTTGCATTTTATACTCTCAGATACAAGCCCATTCTTATTCTAATGCAGTAGGAAAAGACTGGTTCCTCCTTTGCAGAAGTTCTGTTTGCTTCACAATTTTTGTGTGTCAGTAGGTGTCCTTGTCTTAGGAGATCTCCTCTGCCTTGGTTGATTTCTTGTTTGGTACCTTAAAAATAACCCCTCTGTGTGGAGACCCTGTGCTTTAGAGTGGTCTTATGTTCTAGAATTTCTGCCTTTTATAGCAGTAGATACACGTGGGATAGCATGGGCTTTCAACAACTGTAGATGTCCTCTTTCGGCAATAAAACACTGAATCCCAAAGATGAGAATCTCTCTATTTTTTTCTGTGATACTTTCCTATCTTTTGTCTGATTGCTGAAGGAGTCCTTTAAGGTGACCGAAACTGCTATGGTATTGAGATATGGGTTCCATGTTAACATACAGAGGTTGCACACACTTAAATGGGACACATAGAAAGCAACTCCTGAAGAAATTTCAATTATTATAAGGATAATAACTTATCTGTATTGTTTATTTTCTGTCTGTGTTAAATGTTTAATTTAGATGGTACTAATATCTTAGTAACTTAGTAACTTAGTATGTTAATCATTGAAAGGACTTGCAACCACTTTTGCATTGCTTTTTTATCATTTAAAAAAAAATCAATTGTTTTGTAGCTGATTGAACAGTCTAAACGTAAAGGAGAGCAAGAACTAATACATAAATATGAGAAACTGATGGTGGAATTAGACAAGCTGACGCGTTCTATGGCAGAGTTCGAAGAATACTCAGAACTGGATTGCATGCAGCAGGTCTGATTAACATTTAGTATAAAATGGGTGGAAATGTTTTGTATGTTTAATACACAGGGGTCATGGAAGAAACTTAGAATTAAAAGTAATCAGTTAATTTAACAAATGTGAACTAAAACGTTTATTATCTTCTTGCCACAACGAACAAATTCATAAAATTACCCCTGGACCCCCCTTTTTGTATTACATTGGCGATAACATTTGACTTAAAGGGAAGTTTACTATGAAGTTGTGCTTAAATTAGCTGAAAGGTAATCCCAGCAAGGACTGAGATATTACAGATGTATAAAGTGAATTATTTGTTTACTCTGGTTTATATAAAGCATGGAATTCTGGCCCCAGTGAAATTATTTGCAAATAGCTTCAGTGGGATAAGAATTTCCTTCCCTGTCTTTGATATACTGAGGAACTGAAGGAAAAAATAGCAGGTTAGAAAGAGTGATTGGTAGCAATTTGATTTCTTTTTTTTTTTTTTTTTCTTTTTTACCCTATGAACCTTAAAACTTCATTTTTCTGCTAATGAAGAGCAGACCACTCGCTCCAAAACTTTGCGAATTTCTAGAAGTATTTTATAATCGGCAGAGCATGTCTTGCACTTTAATTGAAGGTTATCACAATTGTGCTTGGTAATTTTATTTTTCAAAAACAAAACACTTCAAAGCACAAAACAAAAATCCTAAGGTCATAAATCCCAGTTGCCCTTATGGTATGTCAGGTACATAAAAATGTGTATGCCTGCCTCCTGGAACAGTGAATTTTAAAGCTCAAATATTTTGAAAATAGTTTTATACTCTTAAGTTCAGTGATGATAAAACCAATTTTATTTTTCTTAGTGTTAATCTGGGTTCTTCACAGTTTATCTACTCAAGGGTAAGAAGACGAGTTTTTAACTCATGTTTTCTAAAATTTTAGTAAATAAGAAGGCTTAGTATATTTTGATATCTTATTTTGATAGCTGTTCAAAGCATAACTTAGTTATCTCTCAAGACATACAATTATTTGATTTCAGTATGTGACTGACCTGAGGGCGTTACAGAAACGCATACAGGAGGCTGATGAAACAGTAGCTCTTATTAATAAAGAGGAGACTCTGCTTGAATGGAAACAGAGTGACTTCCCACTCCTCAACAACTTAAAAGTTGAGATTGAACCGTATCAGAAACTCTTTCATCTTATACTGAAATGGCAACGAACAGAAAAAAGGTAATTCAGCTCATGAAGCTAAATGAGGGAGAGCGGGGAAAAATGGTCATGCTGTGTTTGTAGACACAGCATCTACTCAGATGTAGAATATGGATTTGTTTTCTTATAAACATTTATTTGTTATTAGCAATCCAAATATAATAGTAATATGACTTACATATCAGGGTTGTTAATTTTAATTCAGCTAGAAAAAATGTCAGTTTATTTTCTTTTTTTTTTTTTAATGTAATGCAAAGGAGTATATTGCATACTGGGTTCTGACTGTATTGGTCACGCTGGTGAAGCCTATAATAAGACAAACTCTATGAAAGAAATGTATTAGGAAGAAAGAATTTGGTTAGTTATGAGCCATTTTGTATACCAGAAAAGGAAGCAGTTGAATTAGAAAGCTCACAATCTGTAGGTAATGAAAACTATTTTTAACTTAACGGATGTCCAAAATGCCATGTAGATGTGCTCAAATGTTTACATTGCTATCTGGTGGCTAGATCCTATCACAAAAACTGTAGTATGTCTGAGTCTAAATTAAGTGAGATTGTTTACCAGTTCCTGCACTCTTTGGAAGTTATAATGCGATATGGCTAGAAAGTACAGATTTTTTTTTTTTTAAATACAAAGGCTTTGCATATTTTTTTTTTTTTTAAATACAAAGGCTTAGTATATTTTCATGTCATATGTTGATCTCTATCCAGAGCTTAACTTAAATATTTCTCAGTCTGTGCAGTTACTTGGTTTCAGTATGTGACTGACTTGAGAGAATTACACAAATACACAGAAAAATGTGATCAAGCCACCTTCAGTTGTGCATTAGAATTTTGCATAGAATGACAATAATTGGAAACAAGAGCTTTGCTCTAATTTAAATAACTATTAATCTACATCTCGTTTGTGTTGCAAAACAAAGTGTTAATTATTTGTGGACTATTTGTTATTCTGTTTTCTAACTTTGTGTTTTTTCTCAGATGGATGGATGGTACCTTTTTGGAACTAAATGGGGAAAGCATGGAGGCTGAGGTTGATGAGTTTTTTAGAGAGATATACAAAGCGTCAAGACTGTTCCAACAAAAGCAGAAGAAAATTCAACAGGAGTGGAAAAAGACATCACGATGCAGAACTGTAGAAGAGAAGACAGAAGAAGAAACAAAGGCAAATCCAACTCTTACAATGTGCTCTTTAGTTCTGGAGCAGGTTAAAGACTTTAAGGTAAGAAAAGGTGAGGGATATTAATACTTGATGCTGAGGGACAAATGCTAAATTCAGCACTCAGTATAGGTAGATGATGCAGTGTTAGAAACTCCTGTTATTACAGAGAGAGAGAGTGCACGCGCTCTGAATCACCATTTCCAGATTGTACTGTCCCATTGATTTTAATAAAATTGAATTTTTGATATCTTTGTGATTTTAGGAATGTGAATTGTTAAAGAGTGGACACATACAGGAGAAAAGTAATTTTTGGATGCAGAGAAACATTTAAGGATGTAGTTGGGAATTTTGAAATGGGACTATATGTTACGTTAATGGAAGCCCAATTTAACATAACATAGCTGAAAAATTGTTCCTTTTCTCTTTTCTGCTAAGACTGTGCTTAATAGTTTTATATTTCTTCTTTAGTAATTTACTACAATTATTTAGAAATGGAATGGATAACTGAATGGATCAATCTGCACTTTTAAGAAAAGATTTTCCTGTCATCAGCTACTGCAGCAGAATTTTAAATGCACATCAAAGATGATTAAAAAGTTAAGAAATAATGCACATCACAATTTTTACCTTACAAATGTTTTTCCTCAATTAGGAGAATATTCCCACTGTAACTATCTTTTGTAACCCCGGCATGAGAACTCGTCATTGGCAGCAGATGTCAAATATAGTAGGATATGATTTAACACCAGACTCTGGAACTACCCTGAGAAAAGTTTTGAAGCAGAATCTAGTCCCTTATATGGAAGAGTTTGAAGCTATAAGTGTAGGTGCAAGCAAGGTAAGCATAGCGATTTGATAGTGATAAATACAACATCAGGTCTCTTAGTAATGGCTTTTATGGCTTACTAGAATTTTTTGTCTTTGCCCTTATGCAACAAAAGAGATTTGGTGAGACTTTGGCCCATTAGATGATAACAGTGAGGGTGTAAACATTTGTATCTCATGTTACATCATTAGTATTTCCCAAGTGTACTCCTTTCTGTGCAATAGAAAATTATATACTAAGAAAAATAATAAGTTAATTTATGCTGTTAGAGCAAAAGAGCTTATTCAGCTAGATAAGCTTATACATTGAATTAGTGAGTTGGAAAAAAATAATGCAGTGACTCAAGTAAACTATTTTCTTTTTAAACTGTAGGAATTTTCCTTAGAGAAAGCAATGCATGCCATGATGGAAACCTGGGATTCAATTTCCTTCAATACAAGTGTGTATCATGAGACTGGTATTCATATTCTGTCTGCAGTGGATGGGATTCAAGCTGTTCTCGATGATCAGATTATGAAAACTCAGACAATGAGAGGATCACCTTTCATTAAACCATTTGACAAAGAAATCAGGGTACAATAAGTACTTTTTTTTTTTACCATTTTTATTTGCAGGATAACTATAATGTAAGATTATGCCAATTGTATTACAACTTTATTGTTTGACTTGTTAATGAAATGCTTTCATTGATTTTTCAGCAAGATTCTTTTGAGTTCATATAAGTCCTACTTACATTATCTCTGTGTTGGAATTCCCTCTTCCGTTCAGGTTCAAGTGCAACCAAAAGAACATGATTATTTTTCTGAGTATTTTGCAAAATCACTATTTCTGTTAGTGTCTTTAACCCTGCTGCTTAATAACTGGAAATTATACTTTTATTATTGTTAATAAGAACATTTAGTGAATTAATCCTTGAGTTTTGGACTCAAATTTTGAACTATAGTGTTTTCATCTGGGCAAGGAAACTTCTTGAGGGCTGGGAGAACGTTTTTTTAATCAGGCCTCAGAACAACGATGGGATTGCTTTACACCTGCTTTTGTATTTTCAGGGCTAGAGAAATCTTTGTGGTGCTGACACCATGACTATTGACAGGAGAGAAGCTGGTGAAATTGCTTTGCAGTTACCCTCCCTAGTTCTTTTTTGGTTTATGTAGGAAATCTTCAGGTTCAAGCAGGCTCAGTGAACATAGGTAGTATTTACTCTTTACAGGCAGTCTCTCCACCCTCTTCCAGAGGTATCTGCTATTGTTCACTTTAGGGACAGGATACTGGTCTGGCTGGATCTCTCCTGTGATCTAGGATGGCCTTTCTGGTATTCTTGTGTCCCTGCTGTAATTCAGCTGCAATCCAAGAGCTCCTTGCTGTGGGGAGATGAAACAGAATTTGCCTCCTGGGTATTATTTAACCATTAAGTTGTTAAAAGATCATCACTAAAGTGATAACTGCATTTTAGAAAATTCATTTCCAGGTAAGTTAAACTTTCTGAACTCCTTTGGCCATCTGTATACGTGGAAGAACCTAAATACTCCTAAATATTTTTCTTTCGTTTACTGCTAGACATGTTTATTTTCTCCTTGGGAACTAGAGTACCACAGTGTCTACCTTTCCTGTATTTATTCTTTCTAACATTATTTGTTTGGAGATATTAAGGTAACATTCTTTAAATATTTATTAAGGAATTTGAAAATCACTTAATTCAAATTCAGGAGATTATTGATGAATGGCTGAAAGTGCAAGCACAGTGGCTTTATTTGGAACCCATTTTTTCTTCTGAGGATATTATGCAACAGATGCCGGAAGAGGGGCGTCTCTTTCAGACTGTGGATAGATACTGGAGGGATATTATGAAGTATTGTGCCAAAGACCCAAAGGTAAGGGAAATATACAGTACTAAAAGGAAACAGTAGCTTCTCTTGGTTTTTTTTGTCAATGCTTTTGTTTTCAGAATATATACAATGAACTACTACATCAGTTGGCTAGGCTTTCTAGGAACAAAGCCATGTTGTACATTACTTGAATAACTTCTACTGTTTGAAATATCTTATTAATAACTTACAGTTTGCATGTGTTTGTTATTACAGGTTCTTGTTGCTACTTCCTTGATAGGGTTATTGGAGAAGCTTCAGAACTGTAATGAGCTTCTTGACAATATCATGAAAGGGCTTAATGCTTATCTTGAGAAAAAACGTCTCTTCTTTCCCCGGTATGATGAGTTTTGGCTATTTAAAAAACAAAGATTCTGAATGTTTATTTTGTTTTGAATAAGGTCAGCCTTTAAAGCAGCTTGATAATACAGCTGGCTTTTTTCTTTTTCTTTTTTCTAATTTTTTTTTAGCTTCTTTTTTTTGTCTAATGATGAAATGTTGGAGATCCTGTCGGAGACTAAGGATCCTCGCAGAGTTCAGCCTCACTTGAAGAAGTGTTTTGAAGGCATTGCTAAGCTACATTTCCTTCCCAATTTGGATATTAAAGCAATGTATAGTTCTGAAGGCGAGTGTGTAGAACTGATTTCAACCATTTCTACTTCTGAAGCTCGAGGTGCAGTGGAGAAGTGGTTAATTCAAGTAGAAGATATTATGCTGAAGAGTATACATGATGTTATTGCTAGATCAAGAATGGTATGGGTTTTGTAATAACTTAATAACTGTGGCACAAATAGAGCTTTCTTTATTTTAAGGCTGTCTCTTGGCTTCCTAAAATTCTTCCTGAACACAAGAGTTGATGAAGTTATGGGGCCAGGACCAAGTTAACATTACCTGTATTTATAGGCCGGTGAGATAAACAAGAGTTTAGTTTGAGTAAGAATCAAGTCGTTTTCCTGTAACACTGGATATAAATTCTTTTAAAAGCTTGGCAGCAATACTGTGTTTATAGGATATATTACCTGATGTAAATAAGTTATTCATAGAATCATTGAGGTTGGAAAAGACCTCTAAGATCATCGAGTCCAACCGTCGACCCAACCCCACCATATCCACTAAACCATGTCCCTAAGTGCCTCATCTACACGTCTTTTAAATACCTCCAGGGATGGGGACTCAACCACTTCCCTGGGCAGCCTGTTCCAATGTTTCACCACTCTTTCAGTAAAGAAATTTTTCCTCACATCCAATCTAAACCTCCCCTGGCACAACTTGAGGCTGTTTCTTCTCATCCTATCGCTTGTTACTTGGGAGAAGAGACCGACCACCCACCTCCTACAACTTCCTTTCAGGTTTTTTTTATTTAATTACAAGTTAGAAATACAACACTTGTAAAATCTTTGCTCCCTCCTAAAAGAAAATCATTAGCCAGAAAATGTTTCTTTGTATGAAGTCAGCAAGTTGTGAATATTTACATAATATGAAAAGATAATTGCAAGAATCTTTAAAATTATTTGATAAAAAGTTGCAAATCTAAGGGGAAAAGAGCATTTAATAGTTCATTTGGACTTTGAAAATAAAATAATATTTTTTAGCAAAGAATATTAATAGGATCACATTATATGCTTCTGTATTACATGATGATATATTGCACTGACACTGTATTTGTATACTGTATTTAACTCTTTCAGGCATATCTAGAGACTGAGAGAAAAAGATGGGTTCTGGAGTGGCCTGGACAAGTAGTATTGTGTGTGTCTCAAATGTTCTGGACAAGTGAGGTACATGAAATTCTTTGCAGTGGACCAGAGGTACTTTGTAATGCATAATCTTTTTTTAAAAATCTTTATTAATTTTTCATTTCAGCTAATGTTTTTAGCTTAAATATTTTTCTACAATCAAAATAAAATTTGAAAGGATCGGCATATGAGTTTGATATACATGAATTTATGTACGGTGACTTACACCTTTGATTCAGGTACTTGAATGTTCTTGTTTAGAGCAAGCATAGATTAAAATGTAGCTTTGCAACGTAAATGCATGACTGTTAATGAGAGAGGTTGATACAAAAACATGACAATGTAAAAGAATGGCTTAAAAAGCAATCTCCATTAAGATATTTAGTCAACATGAAGAAGTCTGGAACACTTGAAACTCTCATAATCAGTTTCATAATTACCTTTTTTCTCCTAGGGTTTAAAGAATTATTATGAAACACTTCAGCTTCAACTTAATGATATTGTAGAGCTGGTAAGAGGAAAACTGTCGAAGCAAACAAGGACTACACTGGGTGCCTTGGTTACTATTGATGTTCATGCTAGAGACGTCCTCATGGAAATGATTGGAAGTGGTAATTATCTTCTACAACATTTTTCTTCACATGAGTCTTAATAAACATGTTTTAAAAATAGTTAACCAATCTGATTTTGCTGCCTAAAACACAACAGTATTAAGATAGGTATGGGAGTATTTGGATGTGAGCATCAACAGTAATAATTTCAAAGCTGTTTTAAATTTAAACCTAATAGAAAATCCAGTTATCTAAAATGTCTTTTATGATGGCTTTCAATTCTGTGTTTATCAGGCGTGCAGAGTGAAACAGACTTTCAGTGGCTTGCACAACTACGATATTATTGGGAATTTGAGAATGTTCGTGTCTGCATCATTAATTGCAATGTAAAATATGCCTATGAATACCTTGGAAACTCACCACGCCTTGTCATCACTCCTCTTACAGACAGGTGTTACCGCACCTTGGTATGATCTTCCACCAGTGCTACTAAATACTGTATTTACTGTAGTATAGTATTTCTTACACTGTTCATTACAGTCATACTTTTAGGGCTTGCAGTTGCTGTCAGACTCTGGTATTTCTGTTAAACGTGGTTTTCAAAGATTGTAATTTCTATAGAATATTGAACATGAAACTGATTTATAACAACAAATCTGGACAGCCCACCAACATGACTGAAACATTAGTGGATTGTTCTGTTGTGGATGTGTTTTTTAAAATACGAAGAGAAAAAATGCCCAATATTTTTATTGCTGTCTAGATTACGAGAACACAAAATCCTTTTCTGATGTTCTGTGGTTGCTAAATAAAATGGAGAAGGATCCGCTTGTGATCATATTGTTCCTAAGACTAGTACAACAGTTTGGCAACTTTTTAGTATCCCTGCTCTTGTTAGAGGTGTTTAGTATTGTACTGGTCTATCCTCAACTAACCTGACAACTGAAAATTTACCAAAGTCATCTCAGATAATGGCTTTTCTGACTATCATTTACTGCAGTTTATTTGGCTGGAGTATGGTTTCAAGTTTTACTAGGCACCCATCCTCCTCTTGTTGTAAGATGGTAATTTTCATGCTGTGGAGACCTAATCACAAACTCTGTAGGGTTTAAGAAAAGGTCTGAGGAGACCTGACTGATGCATCTGAAGATATTTTTTTGCCCTCTTTGTAGCTTTAATTTTTATGGTATGGTTCTAGCTGATGCTTGGTACCTGTTTGTCAAAACATCAAGGTACATTTGTGTGAGAGGACAATGCAGCTGGTAGCCTGTTTCTTTTTTAAGCTCACAGACCTTGAATCTTGGAGCAAAGCAGTTGGAATCCTGGTACCCTGGCAAATGGAAGTCTCGTCCTTTGCCCACAAAGGTCTTAATACATTATTCCCAGTGCTTGTCAATATATATGTGGCCCTGTAACTGTGGATTGGAAGCCAAATACATCTGAGTTTTTGTTTAGAGTCTGCAACTTTATTTTTTTTCTGTCAGATTTTCCTCCTACTTCAATGGAATATAGGAGAGAATATGAAATGGTCAATAGAATATATGTGCAATAAAGGGGGACAGTGTGGGAAACAAAAAGGAAAGAGGAAAAAAGTATATTAAAGGAGAAACAGAGGTAGAAAAGAGTAGCAACCAAGTAATTGCATCAAATTTAATTTGAAAGATGTATCTAAGCAAGAACTGAAAGATTGGGTCCAATAAAGTTTGAGTAACTAATCATGGTCATGATGACAATAAAACTAAACTCTCTGTTAGGGTCAAAATTCAATTCTGTTGTATATAGTTCCAAGCTGTAAGTAAATTTCAGATTATTTTTTAATTAGTATAGCCATACTTTTTTTTTTTTGTTAGTTTCATACAGTCAATGTATCTATGTAGTGCAATTTAATTTAACATTTTTATTCAGAATAATTTCATATGAATGAAGTACTAATAATTTCCATAAACTATTTCTGTTTCTTAGATTGGAGCCTTTTATTTAAACCTTGGTGGTGCCCCAGAGGGTCCAGCAGGGACAGGTAAAACAGAGACCACCAAAGACTTGGCTAAAGCTCTTGCTGTTCAGTGTGTTGTCTTCAACTGCTCTGATGGCCTCGATTACCTGGCAATGGGAAAGGTAAATAGAAAATAAATGTTAAGCTTTGTATTTTATTTTTAGGATGAAAATTGTAGGGTGCCTACTTTAGAGACATTTCAATAAATTTGTCATCTGTGGTCTGCTACCCTTGGACACTATATACTGGTCTCTACATATGCTTAATTTCCTGTGCTTTGTGAAATCCTATTAAGTCACTCATTAAAACATGTAAAGAAACAAGAGTTCACAGGATCAGGATCTTCTGATTTAGCTTTCTTTAGAACCAAGAAAAGACTCTGTTCTTCAGTACATCACTGGTCTTTGCTCTGCGCTGGCCTGTTTAGGCTTAGACATTATTAGCATAATTGTATCTTTCATGTAATTAAACTTCCAATGTGATACTCTTTAGTTTCTTTTGAATCTTATTCTGTTAGTGATATTATTGTTATCTTTCTCCATTGGCAGTTTTTCAAGGGTTTGGCTTCATCAGGTGCATGGGCATGTTTTGATGAATTCAATCGCATTGAACTGGAAGTACTGTCTGTTGTGGCACAGCAGATCCTTTGCATCCAGAGAGCCATACAGATAAAGCTAGAAACATTTATTTTTGAAGGAACTGAACTGAAGCTTAACCCCAACTGTTTTGTAGCTGTTACTATGAATCCAGGTTATGCAGGACGTTCTGAACTTCCAGATAATCTGAAGGTAAAATAATAAAATACATGTTTCTGCTTAAGAATTAATTTTTTTTAAGAACTTGAGGGATATGTGTATTGCTGGTATTAATTCAGACTGTACCACCTGGAATATAAGCATATACTTGTTATGCAATTTACGAATAGTAAGCCTCTTTTTTTTCTTTTCTACTTTTTTTTTCCTCCTAAGTACTTTGTTCTTTGTGAAGGAATTTGAAATATTTTTTATTTTCTTGTGTCTATTAGTGTTTTTCATGATTATTTTTCAAGGCCAAAGGCTCTAATGCTGTAGCAAGTAAACTGGCAAGTGTGAGGCTGTTGGTAGATTATAAGATTTGGATGCTAACTTTAAGATGGAGGGGTATGTTGGAAAAAATGCTTTAAGAAAGTATTTTTACATTGTATTTATTGTAGTCTTATTTAAAAGAAGTGTTAGCAAACTACACTTAATACATGTAATGAATTTGCTTAGATTACCTGATTAAATAAAATCTTTTGAGATTATTGTTTTGACTAGATTAGCTGTTTCATTGAGGAGGCTTGGCTTTAGCATAATCTGGAGCCTTTTGGAACAGCATCTGTTCCTTAAGACTCAATGTGGCACAGAGCTACTGGGTCAGAGCAAGTTGCCTCAGTCGGAACTATACTGTGAATGCTAACTTAAAGCGGATTTAATGCAGCATGAAGAGTATACCAACTGCAGATCACCTAAAGAAAGGAAGTGCATTCTTTCACCTGCCATGTACAACACCTTCCTTCGCTTACTGCTGTGTTGGATGTATCGGTGTAAGGGGCAAACTGCATTCCTGAGACAGTGATGAGGGAAAAGAGCTGGGAGAGACAGCGTCTTTTCTGCACTGTATTGGACATTGAGATGGATCTTGATGGCAGCTTATTTATGTTAGCTTCCTAGTGAGTCATAAGCTGCAAACATTGATAATTCTTCTATTTCATTGGTTCCTAAATGTTCTGCAGGCCACTGCTTTCTAGTGTAACTGTTTTAAATGATCCACAGCTTACCTAATCGTATTAAGCGGTACTTCACTTAAAATGCTTCTACTATTTTCAGTTAGAAATGCTGTGATGGGATGAATACTGATCCATCACCTGCAAAAGTTCTGAATTACTTTCTATTCCTCAATTAATTACTTAAATATATTTCTTTGGGTATGTATTTCAGGTTCTTTTCCGAACAGTAGCCATGATGGTTCCTAACTATGCTCTGATAGCAGAAATATTGCTCTATTCATATGGATTTTTGAATGCTAAGTCACTGTCAGTGAAGATAGTAATGACCTACAGGCTTTGTTCAGAACAGCTTTCCTCTCAGTATCACTATGACTATGGTATGCGAGCAGTTAAAGCTGTGTTGGTGGCTGCTGGGAATCTAAAATTGAAATTTCCCACAGAAGATGAAGATATATTGGTGAGTTCCTGAGGCAATAATTCTTAAGGAATTTTACAGATGCATGTGGTTCTGAGTTCTGAAGGCAGTTCCACCACGTCTTGTCACATCGCTGATCCACATTTCTTAGTTTCCCTATTTGTGAAACGAAGATAATAAAATACATGTTGCGCTTTCCAGTGCTATGATGATGATCACACAGTTGTGCTTGACTGCTTATCAAAGGCACCATTTAATGTTAATCTTTATTACATGTTAGATTATTTTAATTGATGAACAGTTTATTCTGTGTTTTTAATAAGACCAGTAAAAAGTATATTTGTTTCCTCTAGCTTCTTAGATCAATTAAGGATGTGAATGAGCCCAAATTTTTGGCGCATGATATACCTCTGTTCATGGGTATAACTAGTGATTTATTTCCTGGAATCAAGCTTCCTGATGCAGACTACAATGTAAGTACACTTGTAACTTTTCCTTGGTCATAATCATTGTGGGTTGTTTTGTGTTGTTTTTTGGTTGTTTTTTTTTTTTCACCAAGTGTAATTAATACAGTAATTTGTGAGTTATTGCAAGATAAGGAAAATTATTGAATGTTTGCAATGAAACTTAGTGCCAAAGAAAATTTTTGTCTCTGTTCTGAGTATAGTCCACATCTGAGTTCCCTTACATCCAGAATTTTAGGGTCTTTTGCTGATTTCTTTCCTAATTTTTTGACATAATTAAGTGAGATTAAGCTTTGTGTTTGTATTTTCTTTTGTTTACAGCAACAATTAAAGCATAGCTCCTTTGTAGGAGGATGGTTGGGAAGAAGATGAGCATGTTGGAAAAGACAAAATGAATTGACTTTTCAAAAATTTCCAGTAAATACTGGAGTCTTGTTAAAAGTGTATTGTTCCAAAGCACACTGTTGGTTTCCTGACGGTGATATGCCTTCTCCTCAAGATAAAAATTGTAGTTAGCTCCTGTTCTAGCATATGAAGTACAGAAGCGATTATTTTTTTTTTCCGCAGGGATGTTTGCTATATTCTGATTAATAGTATTTCAGTTATTAGAATTAGTAATTAGAAACCCTTATTGATGAGTATAAACTGTTTTACTGTAGTCCAAGACAGTAATTTAAATTGTAGCAATGATAAGATTATGATCTTGTTTGATTTTAGGATTTTCTGGAATGTGCCAGCGAATGTTGCGTTCGACATAATGTCCAACCTGTAAAAGCTTTTATAGAGAAAATGATACAGACATATGAAATGATGATTGTTAGACATGGGTAAGGTTCTCATTACTGCTTCACAAGCAGTATTTGTTGTAATTTTGGCTTATACTGTAGTGATTATTTATATCAAATGTAAAAGGTCTTAAGGGTGGCAAAATGTTTCTATTTGTATTGGAACAGTTGGTCACCAATACTGCTTTTACATGTACCAAAATTCTTGTAAGTGTATGTCTGGGGAATTGTACTGCTCTTGATATATTTACAAATACATTAATGACAAAAAGAGAGGCTTATACTGTAGTGATTATTTATATCAAATGTAAAAGGTCTTAAGGGTGGCAAAATGTTTCTATTTATATTGGAACAGTTGGTCACCAATACTGCTTTTACATGTACCAAAATTCTTGTAAGTGTATGTCTGGGGAATTGTACTGCTCTTGATATATTTACAAATACATTAATGACAAAAAGAGAGCAGGAGAATCTCCACCCCTTATTGGATGTGGGGGGAAACATTGTCACCAAGAGTGAGGAAAAGGCTGAGGTACTTAATGCCGCCTTTGCCTCAGTCTTTAACAGT